GGGCACCATTTTTAAATCCCCCTAGTCCGAACTAACTGCCCACAGCTACATGTGGCAGTCAAACGTTAACTCGAACTAAGTCCTTAGTTTGAGTCAACTGTTACACCTCATTCCACGAGGTGTATGCCAAACTATTCTGACTGGTTGGGCTGGAAGGGGCTGTCATGATTATGAGGGTTAGCCAGCAGCCTGGGGATTAAGGGGTTAACTACACCTAGCCAGGTGGAGTGACCAGTAGGAATGTAGGTGGGACTTTCAAACAGGGACAAAGGAATTGGGGTTTTTCCTTTCTCCCTTTTGTCTCTCTGAGTGAGTCCTCCGCAGCTACAGAGAGGGACAAGCATGTCTCTCTCTCTCTCTAAGACACCATTCTTCATTTTCTGTAAGTAGGGTAAAGTTTAGGTAGTTTCGTTAGGCTTTGTTTTAAGATTTGGGTATGGGATCTGATGTCTGGCACTGCTTAAAAGATGTTTTGGCTTTTCTTTGTAACTAAGTTCTAGGCCCATGGAGTTTCTCCATGAGTATATTTTGTTACCTTCCCATCTAGTCATTCTGCTTGCAACAGGAATATTGTTGTAATAAAGTTCTTTCTTTTCTTTTTATTAACCTGGCATTGGTTAATGGTGTGCCCTGATTTTTATTTTAGGGGTGAGATTTCCCAAATGATCTTTCCCCTGATTTCTTTAGCAACATTTGGGTGGTGGCAGTGGAAGTTTTATTCCCAAGATCTAGGCTTTTAAGATTTTGGGGGAAGTTTTATACCGAAGCCTGGTAGATAAGGCTTTGGGGTACACTTGCTGGCCCCCACTTCTGCATTTATCATGCCAGAGTGGGGAAGGAGCCATGACAGGGGCACTCTGCTAGCACCAGAAGGCTACAAATATATAGTAGCATATGCTGAGTATCATGGAACTCCATAAGCTGAATCTGGAGCTTAGTCTGTGGTCATCAGGTGCAGATTGTAATGATGGGCAATAGCCTCCTCTAGCAAGGAGGAGGATACTGTTTTGGAACTCCTGGCCCCAGTCAATAAATGCTCTGGCTGGATAGGAAAGAGGAACACTCCCATCTCTTCCATTTGTTTTCTTCTTCTGATGTTGCAATGTCTCCAAGTATGGCTAGACCCAAAAAGAAAGGAGATTGTGGCTAATGGAAGGCAAATATAGTTTCTAGAGAAGTACATCCAAAGCACATATCTGGTACATCCCTGGTTATTGTGGATGGTGACGACAGACTGATCTAGAGCACAGCCCAGCCTGGAATTCTCTGTGGAGTCACTGGATGCTGATCCTTGGCCTTAAGGGTCAGAACTGAAGTCAGTACTGACAGACCTTTTCTTTTTTGCACCATATGTTCATGTTTAGAGGGTATAAGAGGACCTACATATTAAAAACCAACACATAAGGACTCATCCAAGTTGGGTGAAATCAGGGAGGGATTTTTTTAATCTGAGCAGTGTGAAAGATCTGTCCTTGTGTTTAAGTGCCCTTTACTCTCATGAGATGACTTTAGTAACAATTCTTTGGAATTAGTAGCTCTGGCTTCAGTTTGTGAATGGAGAAGTAGTACTGCCCACTGATGGAGGCCATTTGCAATGGGGAGGGAGGGCTCTACCGAGCCCAAGTGCAACTAAGGTCTTTATGAATTAAAGATAGAAAACAAAAGGTAAGAATAAATGGTCAGTTCTAAGACTTAAGATGGGAAAATATCAGAGTCCAAAAATCTGTTCTGGGACCGATGCTGTTAAACATATTTAAAAAATGATCTAGAAAAGGGTGTAAACAGTGGCAAAATTTGCAGATTATACAAATTACCCATGATAGTGAAGCCCTACACTGATTGTGAAGAGTTTCAAAGGGAGCTCATTAAACTGTTTGAGTGGGCAAGAAACTGGGAGAAGAAATTTAATACATTTGAAATGTATATTGGAAAACATAATCCCAAAATACATACAAAATGATGGGGTCTATAACTATTATCACTCAAAGGGATTTTGGAGATATTGTGTATAGCTCTCTGAAAATATCTGCTCAATGGGCAGCAGCAGTCAAAAACAAACCTAAGGAACTACTTCACACAATGCGGAGTCAACCTGTGGTACTCTTGCCAGGAGATGTTGTGAGGGCCATAAATGTAAGTGGGTTCAAAAAGAACTAAATAAGTTTGTGGAGGATAGGCCCATCAATTGCTATTAGATAGGATGGTCAGGAACACAATCCCATGCTCTGATGGAATCTGGATGACAGGGGATGAATCAATCAATAAATCACCGTGTTCTTTCACTCGCTCTGAAGCACAAGTCACTGGTGTCCATTTTTGTGCACTTATGTATGGGTAACAATTTACAGAAGCAAAACCTTATGTCGTGGGCACAAGTAAAGATAGGTTTGTATATGAACACCTGTGTTCAGCAAAGTTGCATTTACCAATAGTTTATGCATGTACAAACAGAGACTGGATTGAGGCCAGTGACAAATTTTGCTTCTGAACATAGGCAAACTTCTGTTAGCATCCTGGAGCTACATTGTCCCTTTCTTCCCCTGCCACAATTTTGATTGCTCAATGGGGTGCTACATTATGCCATCCTGTTCCTCTGGGTGGCCCTCCCTGAACTCTCTCCCTTCGCAGGCACCAGTTACCTATACCCTGAACATCAAAGACGCAGCAGGATGCTGCATTTCTTAATTGTGCTTCATATGCTATATACAGGAATATAATCTGGATAGGGCAGTTCCTGCATTGCTTAGTCAAGGCTTAACCAGAATAAATGCCCAGACAGAACCAGTTGCACTAAAGAATGTGAATCGCAGAGCTTAATCACTGGGCATTTTAACTGCATAAGGCCTGAAAGATTAAACTTTATACACTTGTCCAGTTAAAGTCATAGGTGGCATGGGTACTCAATCTTTTTTTTCTGAGGACCCCCTCAACATGCTAGAAAAACTCTGGGGCCCAGGAAGGGCTGGGTGGGGACTTGGGGCTCTGGGCCAGGCTGGAAACCCTGGGGCATAAGCAGATCGCCCGAACCCAGCTCTTCCGGGTTGCAATCTACTCACCACGGGCGAGTAGACTGTATTATTTGTTGAGCCTTGGGCATAAGCATAGTTTGACTATCTGGTGGGGGAGCAAGGGCCAGCAGGGCTCTGGCCAGCTCTGCACTGCGGGGTGCAGTGAAGGAGTGCCACCTCCACACCCTGACTCTGGGTATGACACTACAGTTTGGGAGGACAATTCCCTTGAGTTCCATCAACTCTGCCTATGGGCTCAAGGTTTGTGCCCATGTCAGGGATTCAGTCCCATGCTGCTCCTGACTTTGCAGGAAGGAGCTTGGGGCTTCAGCCCCATATTGCTCTCAGCTGCAGGTGGGGAGCTTGGGGTTTCAGTCTCGTGCCGCTGCTGGCTGTGGGATGGAAGGAGCTCAGGCCTCAGCCCCACATCACTCCTACCTTAGCCCAACAGGGCAGACAGGACATGCTGAGGATCAGGGCTTCAGCCCTGCAGAAGTGGGGACACTGAGTCTCAGGGAACTAGGTTTCAGCAGCAGAGTTCCATGGCCCCCCTCAAAGGGCTCAGAGACCCTCATGAGGTCACAGGCCCCAGTTTGAGAACTGCTGGTCTGTGTGAGATGCTTCTTTAATCAGAGTTATCAGGGAGTCAAATGGAAATTAAAAGGAACAGTCACAAAAATGAAATGACAGCAAGCTGCATGGAAACAAATTTTAAACACCAAAATACAGGCTTAGACTAAATGTAAATACCAACATGGCTGAGGGGGGAGAGGACCAAAAATATGCAATCATGACTAAATAAAATAAGACTGGCTAGAGGCAAAAAAACAGAAATCCTTTAATTATGGGAAGTCAAACTCTATTGAGGAAAATAGAAAGAATGAAGTCGGACATATCAGGTATAAAAGTATAATTAAGCAGGCCACCAATAATTTGAAGAGCAGAAAACAAAAGGTACAAAACTAATAGCAATTTTTGTAAGTAAATCAGAAGCAGGAAGCCCGCCAAACACCCAGTGGGACCATTGTATGATCGAGATGCTACAAGAGAAGGAAGAGAAGGCCATCTGCTATATCTAAGACATTCTTTTTAGGATCTGAGGAATTGTCTCCGACTGAGGTTTTTGAACAAGCTGAAAAATAAGTTACCAGGATAAGATTGTATTCACTCAAGCATTCTCAAGGAACTCAAATGGGAAATTGCAGTTATTAAATGTGTATATAATTTACCACTTAAACCAGTTTCTGTAGCAGATGATTGGAGAGTTAGCTAATGTAGACACCATTTTTTTAAAGGCTCCAAGGCAATCCTGGCAATTACATGGTTGGTAAATCTAACTTCAGTATCAGGTATATTGGTTAAAACTATACTAAAGAACAAATTAATCAGACCCATAGATGAACATAGTATGTTGGGGAAGAATCAACATGGCATTTGTAAGTGAAACTCATGCTTCAGAAATATTTTAGAATTCTTTAAGGAGGTTGACAAACATGTGGACAAGATTATCTAGTGGATGTCGTGTACTTGGACTTTTAGAAATCCTTTGACTAGGACCCATACTAAAAACCCAGGAACTGAGCAAATCAGTCATGGGACTCTTAGGTTACGTCTACACTGTGGAGCTATTTGGGATACCTCTGGTGTCCCAAAATAGCTATTCCGTGTCTTTTGAGCATACCCATTATTTCGAAATATAAAGAGCTCGCTATTCTGATGTCCCTGTAAACCTCATTCCATGAGTAGTAAGGGACATTTTGGAATAGTGATTTATTTCAAAATAAGTGTTTTGTAGACAGTGCCAAATTTTGAAATAAGTTGTTTTGAAATTGACTCAAATAAGCTATGCAATTTGCATAGCTCTAATTGCCTTGCTTATTTTGAGCTATGGATGCAGTGTAGACACACCCTTAAAGCATTGACTCAGTGTCAGTCTCACTTGATTGTGATTAACTAGTGATTTTCTACATTGGTGCTATGCTGTGACCCTTTTTGATACCATTAAAGTTTGTGACAACACAGGAAAGCTCCAACCAGTAAATAGTGGGATGACTTGAGTTTTTTCGAGGTTGCTGACATGGCTATGCAGCGCTCACAGCAGCACAGACAAGAATTCACTCTCAGCTGGTTTCCTTAAAAGAAAGCAATTCTGTCTTTCAGTTAAAAAAAAAAAAAAGCTGTAACTGTTGAAGCGGCATGCACTTAATAAGCTACTTCTAAATCTGGTTTCATCATTTCAGTCTGTGGACTAGCAGAACCGAAGCTGCAGAATCCTTCTCAAGTAAGTATTCTCCTTTCATGTACAGCATGCATATTTCTTCATTTAAAATGTATAACAGGCAGCCAAACTCTTCAGCCTATCGTACTGCAATCTGATATCTGAATTGCTTGTTTTACTATGATTTAATGTGTTCTGCTGTTTCATTTGGCAGACATTATTGCCTTTAAAAAAAAGGAAACATTTAATATATTAAGATGGCAAATTACATGGGTACAGCTGCCCAGAGCTGCGATGCTAGAAAGCTAATTGAATGATTTATAATTAGCTGTCATAATAGGGGGGTTTTATAAAGAATTCTTCACCTTTCATCTGCATCATGCATATAATGAAAAAAGCCTATTTACTGTCATAATTGGAATGTGCATCAAGGATACCCTACTGGCCATCAAGTATGAAATTAGGAAAGTGATTTTTATCTAAAAGGGGTGGGGGGGGGTCATTCTGGCATTTTATTCAAATAATACCAATGCTGATGCATACATATTAAGCAATACTTAATGATTTGTATTAAATATTGGAAGAGAATGTTTATAGTGGAAGCCTGTTGAATTATACAAGATATTAGTCAATCGTTGCTAAATGTTAACATTAGCTTTCATGTATCGATGAATTCATTTGTATGCAAGACAGCATAAAACCAAGTTCACTTGCCAAAACAAATGGCACAAATGGTAGCCTGCCTTCCTCATGAGTATTTGTATAGCTTACCAGACATGTTCATCAGCACCCAATGAAGTGAGGTGGGGTCAGGAAAATTAAAGGCAAAAGGAGTAGTGTTTACTGCATTTTTGTATATGTATGTCACATCATTTATAGTGGGAAGTTAAAAAGAAAGTCATTGCCACAGATAAGCTAAGGGTCTCTACACAATCACTGTAACATACATATACTTTTTTTGTTTAATAGCTTCCTTACTAGCCGCTTAGGTTCAGTTAATATGTCACGTGATCCATCAATAGTGAATGAGCAATGTGTGTAGTGTAGAAATTCACTGTAACTACATAAACATACAACATGCTGCATCTCTGCTACTGATGAACTGCTATCACAACATTTTTTCCAACATCCTTCAGCAACACATTTTATGGAAAAATTATATTGCTTGTATAAGTCAACTATTCAAATAACTAATTTATTATAGGAAAAATACCCAAATACTTTCCTCTGATGCCAGTCAGCCTCCTAGCATGTTGCAAGACCAATGGGAAAGAGGTTGATTTATTTCTCCTGTTTATTTTCAGATTATTCATAACAATACCTTCTAAGAGATACACACAATATCAGCTCAGCTCATTTATATGCAGACATGCTTTTAAGCACCTTTTCTCAAAATATGCTGAAGAATGGAACTAGAGCATCCATTCCTTTATTTATTGTATAATAGAGATGGAAAATCATTGGAGGATTATGCAACACAGATTGATAACAAATACATGTAATGAGAAGGAACAAAACCCCAGCATAGGATTATGATGAACAATCCCTATTTCCTCTGGACACAAGAGTAAGCATCTGCAAATTAGGGTCTGTAGAAAATTCTTGGCATAAGAGAAATTTTGCCAGCTTTTGAGTTAACTATGGGCTGAACTCTTGACAGCTGTGCCATAGTGGTTCCTTCCACTAGTGATAGTTCAACACAAATCAGGACATGCCGTGTGATGTGACAGAAAAAAAAGAGTACTGTATTACAAATTCAAGTGACATACAGGCATTTCATTTCTATTAGGCATATTGCCATTCCTTTTCAGTCAGAAGAAACAGCCTTTTTACATCAAGGAGGCTCACAGGGAAAGGACATGGTAGTGCCTGCCAATCCAAGTCGGTCAAAAATTATCAGTCTTCCTTCTAAAACACCTTGAAACTTTTAAAAATAAGAAAACAAACATAGGAATTTTTACTGGCCTTGTGATTTCAGGTGTAGTAGGGATGGGGGAAGACACAATTCCATGATTTTCTCCACAACTATGAGGGCTAGAAATTTTAGTAAGTAGAAATTCTCTCATAGTTAGCATGACTCCAGGAGCTGGTGCTTAAAAGAAAGCAAGAATTATCATAAGGTTTGAGTCAGCAACACTAATAATGAGTTTTGCTTCTGAAGGACACCCAGGCTCTCTCTACACTGCATACTTATTTCAAAATAACTCATGTTATTTTGAAATAACTGGGTGCATGTCTACACAGCAAGCCCATTTCAAAATAATTTCAAAATAAGGGGCTTCTTACTCCAACTTCTGTAACCTTCATTTCACAAGGAGTAAGGGATGTCAATGAACGAGTGTTCTTCCTTCGACTTCCTGCTATGTAGACAGTGCCTAAAGCCAAGTTAAGGTACTTTGACTTCAGCTATGCAATTAATGTAGCTGAAGTTGCGTATCTAAACTGGACATTAGCCCACTGTGTAGACATACCATCAGGCTTCTAATCTCAGCTGGGCTTGAGAATTGTGTCACTGTTGATTAAGGCATCAAGATTTTGAAAAAAATCTTCAGCAGAGCCTTGAAATGGGTTTCAGAATTTTTAGCTATTTATTATTTTATGAGATTTTAGTTGTGTGGTTTCACTGAAAGGCAGATGCATAGGATGGTGCCAGGAGATACATTCTGTTTGTATTCATTATTAAAATTGATCCATAGAGCCAATTATAATGTATTTTAATCACCTAGCTATAGGAGATAGCTGAATGTGTTGAAGTTTCCACCTCCAGCATGGAACTGTTATTCCCTTTGTAGGCATACAATTAATTCTGGGGTATTAGCAGTTATCATACACACAGGCTCCTTTTCTATCCTCCAATTTCTTCAGGACAGGTAAATTAAAAGAGGCATACCAACTCAGAAGGCGCGCGCACCACACACACACACACACACACACACACACACACACAGTTTTCCAGTTCATAATATTTATATCCAATTTAAACAAGAGGACATTTTTTCAATGAAACATTTTTTCAGTAGGTTTCCAATGTAATTCACAGTCTCCAAAAAACATTTGCCAAAAAGCAGCCACTAACCATCCAAGCCTGATTTTGGGGCATGAGCTACATGTGATCTATAAAGATATGGATCATAAATGAAATGAGGGAGATGTTTTTGGTTGTACACACAAGATGTCTCTGGATTGTTCTCTATGGTGTTGTGGTGAGGGACACAAATATTTGCCCAAATGTGTTCAGGACTCGTATGAATGGAGGAAAGCTAGGAGGGAGCGATCAGTGGCTCCAGAGAGTAGGACTTGATTGGTTGAGAAGTCTGGGCCAAGGAATGGTACCTGCATCAAGATGCATCTCTGGAGAATAGACAGACATACCCACAGCATTTACACCAGTGTAATCCACACTCTGCATACCACGGAATCCCTGTGGCAAAGTGAAGATCTTGATACTGCCACTTTTAAAGAGCCACTAACCCCATTGATAACTGAACCAAAGACAATACAGGTTGGACCTCTATGGTCTGGCACCCTCAGGACCTGAGTGTTCCTGAAGGAGAGTTTGCCGGATGAGGGAAGGTGAGGCCTTGGGCTCTCCCGGGGCTTCCATCCTGGCCTCCAGCATGGCCAGTGCACTGCCTCAGCCACAGGCGGGGCTCCAATCCTGGCTACTGCCCTGCCCCCGGCTAGTGGGACTCCCTGCCACCAGCTAGCAGCATCTCTATGCTTCCTACTACAGGCACTTCCCTGCCCCAGGAGAGCAGCAGTTTCATACCCCCAGCCCCAGGGGCTTCCGTCCAGGCCAGGCTCCCTTCCTCCAGTCCACTGGTGGTTTATATATAGCTGCTGCCTGTAACAATAGCAGTAACACAACACTAGAGGAAGTTATATACAAACGACCAGCTGAGCTCCCAGCCCCTGGTAACATCTGTGGGGATATGTCTACACTACCCTGCTATTTCGAACTAGCGGGGTAATGTAGGCATACCGCAATTGCAAATGAAGCCCGGGATTTGAATTTCCCGGGCTTCATTTGCATAAGCCGGGCGCCGCCATTTTTAAATCCAGGCTGGTTCGAACCCCGTGCCGCGCGGCTACACACGGCACGAACTAGGAAGCCTAGTTCGAACTACCATTACTCTTCATTCCACAAGGAGTAACGGTAGTTCGAACTAGGCAGCCTAGTTCGAACTACCTAGTTCGTGCCGCGTGTAGCCGCGCGGCACGGGGATATTATTCAGTTTGAACCTCTGTGATGTGTGACACTCTGGTCTGACAGGACCATGGATGGTGTAGACCAGAGAACCCCAGCCAGGGTATGTCTACACTACCCTCCTATTTCGAAATAGGAGGGTAGTGTAGACATACCCTGGCTGGGGTTCTCTGGTCTACACCATCCATGGTCCTGTCAGACCAGAGTGTCACACATCACAGAGGTTCAAACTGAATAATATCCATTGGATCTGACTCTATGCAGAATATGAAGATTGGATTTTAGGGCAGGGCCGAGATAATATTCATTGTGCAGATTCCAAACATGGAAGCAAACATTTCTAATCCTGCTCTGCTCAGCTGTGGAGTACTGCAACTTTTTCAGTCCCCTATGTCATGTCCCTGTAACATTTTCATTATTGCAGTTGGGAAAAAGTACATTCAGGAGGCAGACAACAGAGTAACCCATCCCTGAAATTTTCTTTCTAAGCCAAATTATAATATAGTTCAAACAACATAACTGGCTATCAGTTTATACAGATGCTGACTGGGGTAGTCATATGAAACAGACCATGACTTGCACATCAGTGTCTGCTTCAGACTGAGTGAACAAGCAACTAAGTCAGGCCCCCTGCTTCCTCAAGACCTGTAATTTGTTCTATCATTACTATAATTAAGGCAGCGTGGAAAAGTCAGGCCTAGATTGCTTTCCCGTGCTATGATTTGTTTGTTTGAATGGTGTGGTATTCGTGCACCAATGAACCAGCTGAAAAGTTGGGGCTGTGCAAAGCCTTTTCTTAATTGAATTGCAAGTCTGTCATTTATCTAGGGTTATAAACAATCCCATACAATGTTAG